AAGGGAGAAAGGGCAATTGGAGGGCTAAACACATGCAAATGATGGGTGGCAAGAGGCTCCAGATCCTCTACCCAGAGGGCATCTGAACGTTAGGGAAGGTGGGAACAAGCCGGATTGCCAGGGAAGAAAAGGAGGAAACTATCAAAGGGAGTACAGGAGGGGAAAAGAGTATTCCCAAGATGTTAAAAATAACAAAAGTGTAATTGTAAGGCTCCACGGTGTCCCTAACCCTACCCTCCTCCTCAGTAGGGTACAGCTGCACAAAATAACTGCAAATCTTAATTTATTGGGAGCTAGAGAGACTTGTAGCTGCCACTATGTCCTTTGGGGTCTCTGGGTCTGAGTCTCAACAGAATTGATGTTGTTAAGGGTCTCAAGGCCAGGGCTCTTGGTGAAGGTTCTTAGCCCGAAATTAAGTGCCCTAGAAAATGGGGCCAGGTGAATAGATAGGAAAGCAATTTCCCAGGGACCAAGCTCACATCTTGCAACTAAACCCTTATGGGTTCGAAAGAGGTTTAATCTCCAGCCTGGAAGGCTGCAGACAAACAGGCTCTCTCTTCTCTACACAGGTCCATACCTGTGGATATATGTGAGAAATCAATTTGTATGTTCATGGAACACTTAACTAGGTCAGCAAAGCATGTTAAGTTTTGTTACTTTTAACCTTGGTTAGTTTTTTGTGGCACTGTGTGCTGTGTGAACCCAATCCATTTGAATAATTTATGGGATAATTTACCAAGTTAAGCACATCATCTGAAAATATGCATATATCACCTCATAGAGATTGGAAGTGCTGATTTTGAAGGTAAATTATTACCTGTTCAGTATAATACAACAGTCTATAGGCTTATTATCACCTTGATGGCTGGAGGATTTTATGGGGCTTATTGCTCCCAGGTCATACTTAAAATAATTGCTGGGGGGATTTTAGTTTGCAAATCAGAGACTTGCAATATTTAGAAAGTAAAACAAAGCATTAACCTAGTTGAATATATGTAACAAATCCAGCCTATAATCAAACAGTATGATGGTTGCTTTAAGTGTTGTTTTGTGTGTGGGTGTTTGTGTGTGTATACACACACAATATATATATTTAGCAGGATGTTTTTATTGTAAATTAAATGCAGTCTTCTCCAGAGACAGTCTGGAGGGCCTAAGAACAGTTTTCACATCATTCCTACAGGTGAAAAGTACTTATCAATTATACTAATTACAATCATAATTAGACCAATGAACTATTTCTAGCCCAACCTACCAGCTACAAAAGCACACAGATCTCTAACTTGAAGGGGTATACTAAAAAGTATGGTTGGGGAAACTAATCAGGAGGAAAGGAAAGCAAATCTAAGAACACACACCTCAGTCTTGCTAGAGTAGGAGTCACCCTGCATCCTTCAATCACTGAAAGCTTTTAATCAGAACAGAACCACCTTTGCTTTTTCACATCAGGAAAAGAAAAGAATGAGAGAGAGAGAGAGAGAGAGAAAGAAAGAAAGAAAGAAAGAAAGAAAGAAAGAAAGAAAGAAAGAAAGAAAGAAAGAAAGAAAATCAATCCATTGCTCCCTGGAAGGATTTGGTGATCCCACTTTTCCCACACACAAACTCGATTTCTGGTCACCATGCATAAAAGGATACTTTAAAAAAACTGTTTTAAAGGAAACTATAGCAACTACTTAATATAAGTCATTTTTCTGGTAATGGGTAGGTAAAGCGCTCGTACGGGAGAGGAGAGTGCTAATGTTGAGTGTAAAAAGGAGGCAGGCTCTAGAGACTGCACGTTCATGCCCTATTTTTCGCAGCCTTAAAGTGGCTTTGCTGCACAAACGCTCTTTCCTACCATTTCAACCTCTTCCCTCCCCCGCCCCCCACATCTCCGTCACCGCCAAATCCCCTTGCAAGGTTTATGGCTACCAGAAACGAGGAAAAAAATAATGGTGCCACCAACCATGTCATTATTGTTTAATCGATGTTATCTCTGGAGCGCGAGAGAAGTCTAAAGCGCCGCTATTGATTTTTTTTCTTCAATATTAAAACTATAGACCGATTAAAAAAAATTAAAAGCAGCTCAGAATGCACGATTTTCTCACTGTTGAAGCCAATGTGACTGTTCATGTTCAATACTGCATTTCTGCTCTGCTAGAGACAGGGAGATCAAAGGTCATATTTAACATTCAGGAGGAGGGGCTGGTGCAGATTAATTAATAAATTAATAGAGCAGCGTCGTTTATTGCTGAAGCTTAGCATTCATCTACTTTAACAATCCCAGCGGTCCAAGAGGCGGAAAAGAGGGAGCGAAAGAGCGCGCATAGGGGGAAGGGGGAAGAGAGAAAGGAAGGAAGGAAGGAAGAAAAAAAAGATTCAAAAACAATCACTTACCAGTCTCTGTATTTGGGGGGGGCTGGGGGCTTGGATTTGCAGACGTTTAACCCGCCTGTTTGTCTTTATTTAGTTGCACATCACTCCCTAACACAAAGGAGAGGGTGGAAAAAAAAAAAACCAAAACCAGAAAAGAAAAATATCCCGAGGTGTCTTTCTTTGGCCGCTCCTCAATTACAACTTTGATACTTGTAAACAAACTGTACAGGGCGGTGATGCGGGTTGGGGGTGGGGAGGCTTGGTGGGGAAGAAATAAAGACTCCGATCCACTAAGCAAATACCTGTAAGTGCCTCTTTTTTTCTGGTTGCAGAGAAAGGGGAAGGGAGGGGGGAGAGGAAAGAGCAGGCAGCGAGTGTGTGTGCGTGTGTGTGTGCGCATGAATGTGTGAGAGCGCGCGGCGGCGGCGGGGCTCGGTGGTCTCTCCCTGCGCGTTGCGCTCCGTCCGTCTCTCCTGTCGCTGTGTGCGATGGAGGGAGGGAGGCAGTCGGGGGACTCGCTCGCTCACTCTCCCCCTCGCTGTTTGTGCGTGCCTGCGTGTGTGTGGTTACAGGAGGAGGGGAAGGAAGCGAGGAGGCGGAGGGGAAGGGGCGAGGAGCGAGAAGGCTGCGCAGCGCCGAGGAGGATGCGGGGATGTGGACACCTACTGATGATTGGCTGCGAATTACACCAGGAACAAGAGACGCGCACGGGCCGCTGCTCCTCTTTCCCCCTCAAGTCCCCTCCCCTCCTCGCTTGCGCCTCTCCTCCTCCGACGCAGCGAGCGGCCACATTTCGCTGCCCCTCCTCTTTCGGCCGGGGAGGGTGGGGAGATAAAGCTGCCTGGAGGCTCATTTGTAAGGAGCAGCCACTTGCCGCGCACTCCAGCCTCTCCATTCCCCATTCACTTGCCTCTGTGCGTGCGTGCGGAGAGCGCAAGGGAAGCCGGGGAGGGGAGGAGGAAGGGTGTGCTCCTGTCGGCGGCTGGGTGGCTGCCGAGGGAAGACTTGGGCGGGGGAGGCGAGAGCCCCGACCCCAGGGAGCGGGGAGGTCCTTGCTTCCCCGCGAAGGATGCTCTCTGCGAGCGCCCTCTTCGCCTCGCTCCGAACCTCCCCGCGCAACTATGTGCAGGGCGCCTCCCGGAAGGAGAAGCGGTGGCTCTCGACAGCCTTCTTCAGAAGGCGAGGAGAGGTCGGCCCGAGGGGGGTTCTCCCGCGCCTTCTTCCGAAAAGCTCTCGACCATCCCCGAATCCCAGGCGTGGAAAGGAGGGGAACGGGAAGCCGGCAGGAAGATCCCCGGCAGGCGCTTTGCGCCAAAGGCGTCTTCTGAGGCTCCTGACTCTCCCCGCGGTGCGTCTCCCCCGGAGAGAATGCAAATGCAAAGCGCTACCTAAATGCGAAAGAGTTGCTGCTGCCTTTGTCGCTACCGTTCCTCTTGCAGTTGGGAAAAAAGGCCAAATATTTCACCCGGTCTGAAATGCAGTCGTCTCGTGGCGAGTTGTTATTCAGAGACGTCTTCGAAAGTTGCGGAGGTGATAGTAACCCTTCTTGCTAACACCAAAATAGCCAAGCTTACTGGCCAAGACATGGTCCGTGCTTATGTTGGCAGTTCAAATGTGCCTGCTCCTCTCCTCAAAAGAGGTTGGATGTTTCAGTGTTTCACTGGACCTAACTAAAGTTCTTTATTTTAATTTTGAGTAGGATTAGGAAGAGGATAACTACAAAGATTAATATCTTGATTTTAGTTGTACTCTTTTTTTTAAAGCCGCCTGGCAACATCTAGCTGACCTTGACTGATGCCAAAAAGCTAATCAGAGTCAGACCTGCTTAGAATATGGATGGAGAGCTCCAGGAAATATTAAAGACTAGGCTAGAAAAGAAGCTGAAAAGTAAAAATCCATTTTTGTATTAGGAAGTCGCCAGCAGTCAAACGGAATGCAAAGGAGGCTTTACCTGGACCTAAATCCAAATTAAGTTAAAATTGTGCTAGCCAGTTACTTCTCTTTAAAA